ATATTTATTGCGACTAATTATTAGTCTAAATTCATCATTAAATCAAAGTCTACTTTCATGATCTATCAAGTAAGGAACAACCAGGTAGGATCATATCGTAGGTAGGGTCCATTTGATATACGAAGTATACTGTTTGGAAATCCCACTTTAAACACCTCAGTAAATCACATCCTAGACATCATCCCTGTAAGTAGATCAATCAGTATAACGACTTTGAATCACTGATAAATCTTGTTTATAGGTTCATAATAACGATAATGAAATTAAACATAAGTTATACTTGAAGTAAGGTAATCATAACTCACTTACAAGGTGGTTTAGCGAGGAACCAGGCTCTATGCGGTCAGAACTTCTGAGCTGAAAGCACTTCTTCTCGGGGCCTTCTGGCGCTCCAGGACTTGTCTCTAATAGTTAGGAAGTTCTAGGGAAAGGGGAAGAGGGTTTGGGGTTATTTGGAAGAGAAGTTGAGAAAATGTGTGAAGAAATGGGATGATTTGCGCCTTTATTTATAGGCTGTGAATTGGTGCAACACGGAGTGTTTTTGGGATGAACACGGAGTGTTGAAGTGCCAGGTGTCTCGATCACGTGCGAAGCCGTAGGGAAGAAGGTGTGGCTGAGATGGTGCCACGTGTCACCTCCATAACTTAATAGAAAAGTTAATTATCTTCTAAAATCCATAAGTTTCGCATAAAAGATCCGTTTTTGACGTTCTTTATATCCACACGTAGGTATCGATGGGATCTACAACTTTCGTTTAGAGTCTGTCGGCTAATTTTGACTTTATTTTTAAAGTTATATTTTAACAGACTTAAACAGTTAAAGTCCGTTAAAAATTCATAACTTTGTCATCCGACGTCCGTTTTCAACTGTCTTTATATCATTGAGATCCTATTAATGAGATTTTCAATTCCCATTTAGGTTTTTTCGGCTAAAAATCAATCGATCTAAAATTCGATTTCCGGGTTGTGCTTAGCTAGGCTAAATCTTAGAAAAATCATAACTTCCTCAAACAAAGTCAGATTTGGACGTTCTTTAATGTTCGTTTTCGGTTTAATATATACTACGACTTTTGTTTAGACTGCTAAGGCTAAAAAGTAGTTTATCAAAAATTCACTTTTTACGATACGCGGCGCCGTGCCGATTTAGTCGTAAACTTCGACGGGTCATAAGTTCTTCGTTATAAGTCGGATTTCAGCGTTTTTTATATGTACGGAATCCTTGTGACATATACTATAACTTTGGTTAATAATATTTATGTTATATAATTTTCTATCAAAAAGTCATTTTTAACGTTTATTATCTCTAAATTGACTAGCCCGAATCAGCGGGCGTTACACAATGTATCTAAATGCTTAACCGAAAATTATAATCAATGCATACCTCGTTTCTCCAGATGCTTCCGATTATTTTTAATTGCTTATGATACAAGGTCATCAAAGTATATTACTTACAATTATTTAAAAAAAACAATGATGATCAATATCATTTGACATCACATATTTTCGAAATTAAATTTCTAACATTTAGTAATCCCGTACACTAAAAATTACAGAATATTACATGTGGAACTCAGAAGGCAGGGGTATGGGTTCATTTGCTCGTCGGAGACTTCATAGGGCATAACAAAACCGACAGAGCTCTAACAAATGCTCTTACACTTCCTGAAAAACGTAAGGAACACCACTAAACCATCCCTTCATTTTATCACTTTGTTTGCCCTAGGTTGTTAAAGCTGAGAAAACTCACGGGAACTGCAAAATCCAAAAATTAGTGTTGGGGTGAGGGAGATAGCACTGGGAGTGGTGGAAAAAATGATGAGGCTTAACTGATCATTGTTGAATAGAATACTGACCCCGCCCAATAGGAGCAATACGATACCACTTGATCACACCCCTTCCCATCACAATTCCATTCTTATGCTGAAATTCATGGTTGCGGGACTGAAACACAAATAGTTTTCCTTCGCTAGATTAATCGATAAACTCATCTTCATCCCTTCTTCGAGGATCTATATTCATCTTCATCTTGATTTAACTCCAACTAACAGTCTATCGCTGTCGAAAATAGATGGAAACACGGTTCCAAACCATCATATTCGGATCTCTTACAATATATTCTCGTCGTGTAAATGCAACGAGACTAAGATGTGTAATTTTGAAGTTTCAGGTATAAATTTGTTATAGTATACGCTTGTTCCTAAATGTTTGTATTTTCTTATGTAAATAATAAATCTGTTGTGTTTGGTAGACAATAGATAAGGGATGGTGGTATCATGGAAGAATAGGCGAGAGTGAGGGTTCACTGGAAAATATTTTAAGGTAGGTGGGAGGTGGTGATCAGTTTTTCGCGGGGAATGAAGGGTGCTAAGTTTTTTCAGGTTATATGGTTATGAAGGTCCGACGAATGAAACATGTTACAATCAATGACAGTGGGGGTGGCAGGAAGAGGATGGTGCTTGATGTGATATTTACAATATATTAAAATGAACCTAATTCAGACCTAGTTTATGAATTTATAAGACTTAATAATCCATACTGACATTTATCAATCACCAAAAAATATAATTGATCATTAATAGTATAGTGGGGGTAAACAAGAGTGTCGAACTTAAGGGGAACAGTAATGTATAACTAAGTAAGATCTAAACTAGATAAACTAAAGAGGATAATGATTTAAATATATATATATATATATATATAGATATATATATATATATATATATATATATATATATATATATATATATATATATATATATATAAAATCAAACAAATAATAATTAAACGATAATGATTTAAAGTGTTATTGTTTATATTTCAAATCACCTAATGATTATGATTGATTCATACGAAGTGCAATGAAAATTTGCAGTTATCCATTGATTCCTAGATTAATTAAATCGAAGATAATGTCGTTAATCATATATTTCTAGGTTATCTGCCAGAAGTGATAGCTTTCCTAGATTTATTCTATTAATTTGTATTATGAAAGACTAGATTTGTATGATCGATCCCATTGGCCGTGGTAACCTCTCAAATTGACTAACTCAATACCACAATCATGGCTATTAACTCAATATTTTTATGTCTAAACTAGGGACGTCTCCAATAGTCAAATCTGTCTACGCCTCAAGTGGTCAAGTTGTGAGCTCCTAATTATTAACTAAGCAGTTGATTTCAAGTAACATAATCCAAACTCAATTATAACATCATGCACTCAGCTATGTAGACATATAGTTACCAATATTAATACACATGGATCTTTAATCAAACATGCATATTAAATTGAATAACTACTAATATTACTTTCAAACGAAACAAATCATAATCATGTTAGTTCATCTATATCTAAGCAAAAGTAATATCATTTAGGCCATAATTAACACTAAGGAAATAAGAAAGACTAAAATAATGTTAAACATAATGAAAACAAACAAAATTAATCTTCTAAGATCGATTACTTTGATGCTACTCTTCTGCTTCGATCTTCTAGACTTTAATCTGCTTGTTTTCTTCTATATTCTTCAAACATATATTGTTTTGGACAATCAATAGCTCTATTTATAGCATTGTAAAACCGATATAAATCGCGGCGTAAAGTAGTAAAATTAATATATATCTTCAAAATCATCAGAATATTATTCTTCATATTAAAATTCCAACTATCTTACTTAGTCAATAAGTTAGGAAATTATACTCTATTTTTGCCATTTTCATCTTCTATTTCATCATTTGGTCATTTTCAACTGCAAAATATAAATATATAGCAAATTAATATTTTTTGTCATATTTTACTAACAAAAATACTCATATAAATATATAAAATGTCCTTTAAAATATATATAATTTAGGGCATATCAGTAGGAAGAAAAAAGGTGTTTCTATCTTTCCGATAGGTCGATTAGAGAGATAAAAGAAGAGAAAAGGGGTGGAGTGGTACCATATGTATTTTTTTGTTTAATTATTTTATTTTCTAAGATAATGATAATAAAAAAACAACAAAGAGAAAAAAGGGTAACGTTATTTTAGATAAGGACTAACCTCATAACAAAACCGAAACCAAGCTCACAAACAACTCAAACCATATGGATCATTAGTATAATTTACTATATAAATAATTATATATAATACTGAATTATACGTCTTTCCTCATCTTATCTAGCTGATACATACCACTCCCATCGTAATCTTGAATATTATTTGTTGCTGCTTTCGATAAAGACCAAGGGATGTCCAGATATGCATCGAGAGAGAGAGAGAGAGAGAGAGAGAGAGAGAGAGAGAGAGAGAGAGAGAGAGAGAGAGAGAGAGAGAGAGAGAGAGAGAGAGAGAGAGAGAGAGAGATCCACTTGGCCATGGACCATGTTCATTGACTTGGTCAGGTATCCATGAAGCATGGCTTAAAGGGGATGCACCAAAAACATCACTTGGTCCTCCTCTCTCACTCCCTCTCATGTATGCAATGCGTACATTCATGTTGCCCCATGACATCTATGTATATATGTAGGTCATGCATATTTCTATATAGATTTGGACGTAATTATTGTACGTCATAATTATAGGACCCTCTACATCAATTGGCATAGGCCGTACGTGTATAGCTACGAATTATTACCACTCAGTGTCATCTTTATATGTATAAAATACAGGAAACGCCTGGATTACTTACTATATATACTATATATGTTAAAATTGTTATTTTTAAGCTATACGAAATTAATTTAAAATATTTGTTCACTCAAATAATATATGAACCTTCCTAGCAAGCTAACTAGTATTTCTTACCTACAGATTGTTTGGCCTGGTTCTCCATATCTACGTGTTATCATATCAAGTAGGACTTATTATATGACAACATGCACTTAAAATAATATTATCAAACACCATAGGAAGATTTGAAATATCCCTATATATACACAAACCTTCTCTAATATACGATCATACCCATTTCATAACATTTTTATTTCTCTCTCAAGAAACATCAAACCAACATCGCTAAATATGGATACAAGTTGCACGGATGATCAAAGCACAACCACCGAAACCATCTCCACCGTTGCACCAAGGGTTGCCACCCCACGGCAGCCGCCTGTGGAGACTAGCCTCTGCCGCGTCGGAAGCGGAGCTAGCGTGATTCTTGACCCAGAAGGAGGGGTGGAAGCACAGTCGAGGAAGCTGCCATCTTCAAGATACAAAGGAGTCGTCCCACAGCCGAATGGTCGTTGGGGAGCTCAGATTTATGAGAAACACCAAAGGGTATGGCTTGGCACGTTTAACGAGGAAGATGAAGCTGCCATGGCGTATGACGTCGCCGTACAACGGTATCGTGGCCGAGACGCCGTCACAAACCTCAAGCCACTTGAAGCCGACACAAAAGAAGCGAGCTTGGAAGCGAGTTTCTTGAGCCGTCATTCGAAAGCCGAGATCGTTGATATGCTGAGAAAACACACTTATAATGACGAACTGGAGCAAAGCAAAAGAAACTGCAGCATCGATAAACCCATTTCGGGGGCCGGGTTAAGTAGTTCATCCGGGTCGGGTTCCGTCATACCACGTGAACAACTCTTCCAAAAGACAGTCACCCCTAGCGATGTCGGCAAACTGAACCGGCTCGTGATACCCAAACAACACGCAGAAAAACATTTCCCGGTTCAGAGAGGAAGTACTTCAAAAGGAGTTCTTTTACATTTCGAAGATAATGATTCAAAAGTATGGAGATTTCGTTATTCTTACTGGAACAGCAGCCAGAGCTACGTTTTAACCAAAGGGTGGAGCCGGTTTGTCAAAGAGAAAAACTTAAACGCCGGTGATAGTGTCAGCTTTCAGAGATCAACTGGACTGGAAAAGCAGCTGTACATAGACTGGAAAGCAAAAACCGGGTTGGATAATACCAACACACAGCCTATCCAACCGGTCAAACTTGTCAAACCGGTTCAGATGTTAAGATTATTCGGAGTTAACATTCCGAGTATCATTAATTGCAATGGCAAGAGAAGCCATGACACAGAAATGGATTTATTAGGGTTTGAGGATTGTAAGAAACAAAGACTTATCGATGCATTGTAACATTTTGCTATTCTTTAGGGTATTTTAATTTTTCTTTAAAGATATTGTGCAATTGTTTTGATCATGTGGGATGAAGCTGGAAAGAGGTGGGAATGGAATAGATGAGAGTGCAAGTTGCAAAAGATTAAAGCTAAACATATTTATTTTAGAGGAGAAAAGGGTAGTGTAGACCTAACAAAAATGACAATGTGTATCTAGAAACTGTAGATATAAAAACATTATGCATATCTTTCTACATGTTTGAATGTATCATGATATGATTTATTTACTATTTAGTTTTTTGGTATAAAAATTTAAGAAGTAAATTAGTTTCATGTTTTCTTTTATAAGGGAGAAAAGTTTCAAAGAATAAGAAAATATAATAAATCTGAATAAGTTTTCTAATTATCATATCTATAATTTTGCTAAGATTTTACAATGTTATTTATTAAAACAAAAAACTAACATGATAATGTGTTTAAATATACAAATCCAACTATCACAGTCATATTAATCACTAAAGATCGCTTAACATATTTGGCTTTTACATAATTCATTCTTAACTTTTTGTACTCTGTAAATACAATAATTAGTTTGTATTAAAACCAATGACAGAATAATACCAAAGAGGTTTTTTTTTTCCTTGTTATAAATACAACAAATTATATTGTCAAATTTGAAAAAATAGAAAATATCTTCTAGTACATGCCTATATTTAGTATATGATCTATATTTCCTTTTTTTGGCATAGTAGTACAGCTGTATTTTTGTGGTACAAGAGGGTACAATTACTCATTCTGTGGTGATCATTCAACAAACATAAAGCCCTTAAAATTATGAAATACTTTTTTTAGAAGAAAAAAATATACCTATTTTTTTAATGATTTGTCGTAATATATATATATATATATATATATATATATATATATATATATATATATATATATATATATATATATGTTTAAATGTGGGTACACATTTATTGTGCGGATATATAAACAATGTTATTCTGTGAAAATAATTAAGAAAATATATGTTTGGTAATGTGAATATGTTCAACCTTACATAATGTTAGGGCCAAGATCCTCAATCATATTTAGGATCCCGGATCTCAAAGATATCTAAGGATCCTTAAAACTATTCAGGATCCCGAATCTTAAAGGAGTCTTAGGATCCCGAACACACATCGGGATCCTAAACATCACCATTATTATTTCCTAACAAGTTTAATGGTTATATATCTTGTTTATTTCTCATATGTGCCGAAATGGTCAACATATGACTGATTTACTATGAAGAATCACTCCAACCAGGCTTAAGACCTGAGAATACCAAGTCAAAACACGTTGCAAATACCAGTTCAACAGGATCCTGAATATATAGGACTTTTAGTTACATAACCTAGACTATAGATACACTTGTAAAACTCACACAACGGACACAATTCTATGACACCTTACTCATCTAGACTCACTTTATCATTTGTAATCGTATTATCAAGCTCATCTCTGTAATTTACATTCAAATCAATAAGATCATACAATACAGGTGATCATTATCACCTTCCAATGTTTTGTGTTGGAGATCCTAGCAAGGATCAAGGGCTTTCCTTGTAAACCACATGTGTCATTTTGATTTCACTTCAATATTCACATTAATAACAACACCACAGCCTCTCATTCAATTTGGTTGATATCCTTCTGATCGATTTTTGACCAAAACAATTTGGCACCTATCGTAGGGTCGTGGTTTATTTAATTCTCGAAAATTATGTCTACACAACCAACTTTATCTTCTTCTTCTATTCCTCCAATTTCTTCAAAATATCTTCCACCACCTCCAAAAGGACCTCCCGATCAGAGGACAACTCTAGATACTTATAAAAAGAACACCTCTCCGATCATCAGCCATGTAAATCTGGGATCCCTGAGATTCTAGGATCCTCCTATTTCTGATCTTTAACAACGAACTCTTCTCCATGGTGAGGATGGTAAAGCAACAACTAAACTAACAACGAGAGGAAAACAAGACAATACTCAAGGAGATGGAAAGAATGAGAGAGGAAATCCACAAACCGCGTGAAACAACACCTTCAATTTTGCAACCCATGATCCTCAATTTCGACAGTGCAGGATCCCTAGGGAATCATCGAGATACTTCAACCTCGACACCTGTTGCTGCTTCAACTTGGGGAGCAATCGCAAATAATTAAGCCTATGTGATGCAGGATCCTTATGAAACCTTTATTACCCTTAAAAATGTACCATCCCAAATTTCGAGACCAAAAATTTTGTTTTTAATTAAGTAATTTATAAAATAGTTTACTGAAAACATCATCAATATCATATCAAACCCATAAACCCATAAGTCAAATGTCATAAAACATGTCATGAAATAATAATGTCAGAGTACAATCCCAAGAACATCATGGTGCGGAAAATATGGTGTGATGTGCTGCTACCGAGCCGACTCCTTTCCCTTCGAAGAAGAAGGACCTAAAAAAACTATAAACCGTAAGCACAAAGCTTAGTGAGTTCCCCCATCATACCTGTTGGAATATTAGAGTTGTAGATCGATAGATTCCAAACAGAAAAACAATATTTAATCAAGCAAAGAACACGAGAATGGATCAATGGTGTCGGATGATTAATAACTCACACCTCAGAAGAGGTCGATGAAGAACTTCGACTGTAGAGGTGTGCTAGGGTTACAATGCAAGTAATTAATGAGAATGATCAATTTAAAAGCTATATATGCATGCAATATTTATATGCTAACCCTAATGTTTATCCACGGTTGGACAGGCCCAAACCGGGTAAACTAAATGGACTTATGACCAAGCCCAAAGACGCAACACCAGACCCAACAATCTCCCCCTTTGCGTCAATTGAGGCGAGAGACTACTTCAGTTGAGTGACCTTGGTCTTCTTTACAACCTTGAACAGCCGAGGGATGATCGCAAGAAGCGTTTATCGAAACTGAATATACCACCGAAGCATATCAGTGAATAACTTCTTATCAGCTTCACTGTTCTGATTACACCTATGTATGATCTCGAAAATGTGCTCCAAACAGGAAGTGGAAAATAGGTGTTTGTCAATCAGAGCGAACAAGCATTTTTGACCTTCGCTTCTCATGAATAAAACAGTGTGAAATTTAGGATCAATCATTCCCCTAACCATTGCATTCATATCACTTGCCCTCCTCATCGGCTTCATAGTGGTCTTCTTGTGAATAGCAGAAGCGATCTCCTGATCCATCTTCGCGACCTCATGAATATAACAAACGAGCATTCGCTTGATGTGATCGATGACTGGCTGATACTCCTGTGGATTGGTCAACAAAATATTATTAAGGAGTATCCAGTCGTGAGGGTTCAAGTTCGGCAGGTCAGCTAGGGAAATCATATGGACCGAGCTATCAGAGCCTCGGGTCACTTTGAATTTAATGTTGATGAATTTCCCTACTGAAGTGGGCTTCAACACCTTGACCGTTGTGATTTTCTGAGTGCTCCAGGTTATGTATTGTGGCTGAGCAAACTCAAGATAATACTCGAGCAAATCCCGATCTACCTTCGGGTCTAGAGAAGGAATGCCAGCCGTCGACTCAAAACAGTGAAAAATAAATGCCTTTCGGGTTATTGGCATGTCAAACTGTGAGTCCTTCGAGTTCTCAAGCCCGAACGATGAAACCGGTTCGAGCCAATGAGTGCTCGGTGCATCAATAACCTCCCTGAGAAGCGATTCCATAGTCCATTCAGGAAACATGGACTTCTTCTGCTCTAGCAGCTCGTTCGCTTTCAACTCCTTCTCAAGAAGATCCTTCTCTTTCTGAACCTTCTCCCGAATCTCTTGATCAGTAGGCTTGATTTTCTGATCAAGTTTAGAAGCATTCCTTTCAGTATTTTCTTCCATATCATCATCATCATCATCTTCTCTAATCTTCTTCTTTCTTCTGTCCCTCATACTGCCCGAAGCTTCATTACCCTTCGGCTCAGTAGTGACATTCGGTTTTGGAGGGGGTTGAGATTGAGAAATCTTATCTCCCCCTTGTTTCGGATGGACACTAGTCTCCGGAACACCTTCAATGTGACTCAAGACATCCAATGCAGGTCTTAGCTTTTCAGCCAAGTGGCGTCGAATGGAGATGGTTAGAATGGAGTCGTGAGCTTCCAGTAGATGTAAGAGAATGGAATGCACATCTCCAACCTAGCTTTTAATCACCTCACGCTCAGATTTTAAATCTTCCATCTCTTTGGTGGCATTTCTGAGCTTGAGATTCTGGATTTTCAGCTGTGAAGTTCGCTTATCCAGCTCATCCATAATTTTATTTTCAACAGCAAGCTCTGCTGCAAGTTGAGTCAGCCAATCATCAATGTTAGTATGGAGATCTTGGTTAGCAGCCTCAATTGCTTTACGAGCTGCTTCAAAAATTTTCTTCTCTGCCTCCAATGAACGCGTAAGATTATCAACTGAGGCATTCATTGTTTGAGCATTTTTCTGAGCTGCTGCTTGAAGAGAATGCAGAAAGAGTTGGGCTTCTGAAACTAGTTTTTCGACTTTTGCGGTCGCTTCTTTGCAATCTTTGGTGCAAGCTTCAACGGCAAGAGAAGCTTTCTGGCATGTTGAGGTTGAGGCTTCAATAGCTTTGGCAGCATTGGAGATGGAGGCCTCATAATCTTTGACAACTGATAAGAACAGAGCTTTGAAAGCAGCCTCTAAATATGCACCAGTAGAAGACGATGAAAGCAATTGATCAAGCTTTTCCGTGACAGCCTTGAGATGCTTTTTGGTAATCGGGGCGTCATCATCTTCATCGCTTTGTACGCGATAAGGACTAAAATAAGTGGAATCGAATACCATGTCTTCACCGCCAATAACAGGTTCAGGTGATGTAGGTGGGGTTAAAGGAGTTGAGGTAATAGGTGGAGTAGAACCGACAGTGGATGCCCCCATATCAGATACGTTGACATGAACTGTAGGTTCGGGTGTAGGAGTAGTTGTGGTAGTAGTGACGATCGT